AATAAAAATGATCGCCTTTCTACAGTAAATGAATATCAAAAATTGACAAAGAAAAATGTACAACCAGAAATTCAATATATTAATATTTAATAAGGTTTGTTTAATGATCACGATTCTATGTCTACGTGTAAGAACATTTAATTTAGTGAATACAAATTCAATTTAAATATAGAGATTATTAAATTCACAAATAATGCAGTGATCACCAAACCGCAGTACTAATACAGCTACATGAAATGCGAATTGAAACCATAATAACAACAACAATGGCTCTTGGCGCGTGGGCAAAAACACTTTAAACCTTATCAAGAAATTTCCTAATAAATAAAGACACCCAAAATTGCCAATTATAAAGAAAATATAACAACTCAAATGTTATTATACAATTTCAAATTTGACCAATCAGAAAAAGGCGAAGAATAAACGGTTGAACAACCAACCACACCAATTGTTTATACCAGAGGTTATCGTGATAAAAAATTATCTGTAACAATTAAAGCAATTAATTTTCCTGAGGACCGTTTTATATAATCTTTCTTTTATAGTTCATTTGTTGCTTAAAGTCCTGAAAAGAACGTGACAACAGATTTTGATTTTTATAGAACATTTTCCCAGTTGTAGGTTCACATCGTTTAATATATATTTAAAATCATACCAGAATACAAATAAAGACTGTAAATTTAAAGTAAGAAAGTTGTATACTTCTGTAAAATTGCAATTAATGTAAGAAAGTTGTAAACTTTCAATCTAAAGAAAACCATTCCCCATTTTAGGGAAAAAATAAATAATATGTACTAATATCGCAGATCATGATCAGACGGAACATGTGTGTTTGCTGATAATTGCCTGAATTGATGGCATAATTGGAATCAGTTCCGTCATCTGGATTAGGCTTCAATGTCTTGAACATTTTTATATGTTCCATACGCAACATTAATACACTTGTTACTATATATAGTAACAAAATCGCCAAAGATTTCAACTGATTATGAGTGTCATGTGACCTATTATGAGTTTGCGGCCCGGGACCGAGAACTAGTTATCTGAACATGTGCACGTGCACAAACTGAAAAAAATGACGTCATATTTTACGTCATCAAACAGTAAACTGTAAAAGTGAAAGCAGGTTTTAAGCACGAATCGCTTGATTTTATTATGAGTGCTTAAGCATATTTCGTACAAACACAGTTTTATTACTATTGAAATTCAAAGAAAGAATACGACAATTTCATTCCAAAATAAATGAAAATAAAACTTGCTTCTAGGTCCTTCATTAGTTTACTTTTAACACACAAAAGTAAACAACTCTGTAGAAGTTGCTGAACTGTACAGTACAGTAGAAATGCAGACAGGAATTTCAACGAAAGAAATCTTAAAAGTATCTTTTTAGAATAAATTGCTACTATTAGATCTACCAAGTGTATTAAAGACATTAATACACGCCATAGTTGTGCCAGAAGGTGGTAATCGGCCCTAAAATGAATAATGCCTCGGGCTGAAGCCCTCGGGCCATTATTAATTTTAAGGGCCGATTATCACCTTCCGGCCCTACTCTGCCGTGTATTAATCTCTTAATAACAACACCGTGATTTTTCAATGAGCTTATTAAGAATAGTAATATTTTCACCATTTTTACAATTACTATTGTTCTTGTTGCCATTTCTCTCATTTATTTTCAGAGATTGAGACTGATCTTCTCTTTGTTAATTTTGACTTTCGTCGTTTTTCTTGGAGCTAAAGAAAACCAACACTCTAGAAATTTAGAAGAGATACCTTTTCACCAAAGACAACCACCAGCTGTACCTTGGCTGTGTAACTCCACATCCGGCTGGAAGGACCTTGGATTTCTACATTATCCAAGATTTGTAAAACACATTATCTGTGAAGAAATTTTTTGCATGCACGGAGCATACATTTGCAGACCACAAAATTACTCGATCCTAGTGCTCTCACAACGAGAATACCAACAACACGTTGAAATGGGCTTACCACCTGACTTAAGATCTGGCTGGAAATTTACTGCTGTAAATATATCTGCCGGCTGTGTGTGTGGAATATAGAATAATGATCAATTATGGTGAAAGTGAATACTGTATTTGATATAATATCGTTTCAATTTAATTATTTATTAGATATTGAGATAGAATAAAGAAACTACCTTGTAAATGTGTCAATGTTTCTTTTAATTATTTTTCGCCATTAAGACTGATAAAGGTACAGATATTGGTCAATATGTAACTCCTACGTGTCTTAAAATTTATGAAAATATGTTTTTGAGATATATCATATTTTAAATTGAAAAGAAAGAAACAAACAAACAAACAAACAAACAAAAAACAAACGTTACTTTAATATTGTGATAGCTAATATAGCTAAACTCTATTATGAATATTTATCACAAATGAAATCAAAATGGTAAAATAAAAAGAGGTCAGGTAAAAATTAAGCAAAATTTTATTTAACACATTAACTGTTTTATGATATATAAAAATGAAATAAAACACTGACAGCACAGTTAAAATCTGCAGATGTCTTGATGCATTCAGACTTTTTGCAAACTCTAACTAGGATAGGTCAAGGGGAACCACTCCCGACTATGTTACAGATATTGTTGTTATAATATAGAGATCTTGGTAAATCATTTAATAATTATGAATTCACGTGTTGTTATTTACTAAGATATCACGTTCATTTTATTAAATGTTTTTAATTTTAGATGTTAAGATGATTAATAGGAAGTCAGGAAGAATATTGCATTTGATGCCTTATAGATATGAAAATATATGAACGGATAAGACAGAATCTAAGTTTTAATACAAAATATTAATGGTATGTTGGTAGTATAATTGAATGATAATCATGACTGAACAATAATTGATAATGAAAAATGTTGATTATATAATATTAAAACTACCTAAATTATTAAAAAACCTACCCAACTCTTTTTAAGAATTGAGCATTACCGGCACATACTGAAGGATATTTATAAAAATTTCTGTTGGTCATGTGGATAACTGATTATTTTTCAAGGTAAAATATCAAATTGAACACAATTACGTCAACATGTCAAGTTATTTTTATTTTTACCTGTTCACTAACCATTAAACAATATCTAAAAATGAAAGCTAAATGTATTGGAATCAGTATTCCCGGAAGTTCAAAAAAATATTAAGATTGTGAGATAAAGTTCCGGGTAAGCTAAACTATCGTCACTATATTAGTCACCCATACCATTGCAATTGTTTGTCAAATCCCTTCTCATCCGGTATCGTTTCAATTGTTTGTCAAATCCTTTACCGTTCAAAAATGTATTTCTTCATAACTTCAAAAAAGGTAAATGTGTTAATTTGAAACTTAAAATATATGAGAGTTTTGCTGATAAAAGTATATCAAACATGCGTATATATTGTCATAAAATAAGGAAAAAAACAAAGCTACAATTATAACTTTACCTCTAGGAAAAATATTAATTTGACACAGCTGCGTATCTATCTTCATCAGACAAACATTTCTTCATTATTTACGAAGAATGACATCTTTGTGTCCATTTTGATTATGTGCCGCCTGGAAAAAATATATGTTTACACCTACAATATTTCTGATTATCCTGATATATAAATAAATCCTCCCACATGATTTACTGGTATAGCTGTTACACACGTTCTGACTTCTTTATATACACGTGTGAAAACTGGCTTTGGTATGGAAAGTCTTACTTTGCTATATTGTAAATCTTCAAGAATATGTCTGTAAATCTTCAAGAATATGTTTGTAAATCTTCAAGAATATGTCTGTAAATCTTCAAGAATATGTCTCACGAAAGGCTAAGAATTAAATATGCCCGCTATGGCCTGAATAGGTTGGAAAGACAGGAATGTCCATGTATCAACAAAATTGAAGACGAATTTCATTTTGTTTTTAAATGTACGAGGATTTATCAAAAAATTCTCGGCCCGATGTACTTCCGGTAGTCAGAGAACCCAACTAATTGTCTTTTTAATATAATCACCCTCTACATCAATGCACTATGCCCACCTGTGTTCCAACTTGTTTAACCCTTCAAAAAAACTCTCGATTTTGGTCCTCAAAGAACTCATTGACCTCCATGACACATTCATTGCTTCCAAACGTCTCCCACTAGAGAGTTCTATTTTGAAGGTTTTAACAAGTTGGAGTACAGGTGGGCAAAGTGCATTGATGTTGAGGGCGATTAAATTGAAAAGTAAGACTCTGACTACCGGAAGTACATCGGGCCAAGAACATTTTGATCAATCCTCGTACATTACTTTATGAATTATATAAGATATAGTTATAATTGTTGAGGGTTTTTGCCTGCAATTGTGATTGGAAGAAAATAAAAAATAACAAAATTAAGTGGGTTTTTTCTCATTTTTTTGCGTATTCATTACACTTTTTATCAGGTGTACACTGTAATAGAAGTCATACGAGAGATAATTGTCACAAAAAAATGAAAGCTTTAGTGACGCTGTCAGAGATTTGTTGCGTGACGGAAATACAAAACACTTTTGAACATTAAGCATTATTTAAATACATTACTATGAGTAATTATTATGTTTTATTGCATTGCTAATTTATTTTTTTCCAAAATACCAGCTAATAAGCTATTAAAATATCCTATGAATAAGATAAGAATAAAATTTCTTAACAAAACGTAATCTTCGACTTTTAATCCATATATCGATTCTGCAAGTGAAATGATACTGCTGTTTCTTATTTTTTTAGTGTTACATGTGGAACTTTTTAACGTCTTACTGTTTTAGTTTTGCAAAGAGAGTAAAATCATTTGAGCAACATTTTCATAATTCCATGAAAAGTATACTGAAAATCACAAATATTCTTAGTCGATCAATGTGTTTGGAAAGAATTTGAGTTTGAGCAAGAGGCTTGATATTTTCCGTGACATGCTGTGGTGGGTTTTTAATCGGTTCGGGCATGTATGATTTTTCAGTTTTGTTTTAGCTCCTGCAAACACAACCAACCGAAATCTGAACATCAGCTAGTTTCCAGTTTTCTCTCAGACTTCCTGGTAATGCCATTTCCAAATCTTCATCATCATGCCTCATTGATAACACACGGATGGTATAGTTCTGGGCGGCACATCTGTAGTATCCGTGCATGCATGAATTACCAACACACATCACTTCTTTTGCGAACCTTGGATAATGTAAACTGCCAAGATCTTTCCAATTTATTTGGGATTCGCATTCCCATGCAAATCCATCGTCGTCAGATCTCCGTTCTATGCCGATATCAGCCAAGTATATGTCGTTTTTACTATTGTAAGAGTTGGCTGTGTTATCATTTTCAGTGTCCGAATGTCCATCATCATTAATAAAATCATGATAAGTATTGAAGCTTTTAAGAATACGAGAAAATATTGCGTGTTGTTTATTGGATTGAATTTCTATTGCATTAAACATTTGGAAAGACCTTACTAAGATCACTACGACCAAAACCAATCTTGAATTCTGAAAATATAAAATCAAAAGTCAGGTTTATAGCAAATGAAGTGCGTATGTACCACATAATATGGTGGCGGTGAAAACAACGAGACTGCAACGGTATCAGAGAGAACAATGTTTTACTTAAGATTGACATTATAATCAGTGTAGTCAAGAATATATAGCATAATATCATGTCGTATTTATATACCAATCATATAATTGATAATTTAATTAATAATTCAAAACATACGAAATTGATAAAATTTATAATGCTATCTTATATAAACTTTAGAAAACCTTATTGAAGGGTTTTCAAAAATTGAAATGCACACACACTTAATTAAAAGAATTACAACTTAATTTGAAAAAAATACTATATAAATGTAAAAATACTCTCAAATTAAAAGAACCAATTTAAGCGATAAAACTAGAAAAATAAGAACATTTAAATGATTTAAAGGACAGCAAAACGGCGCTAAAATATGTTACATGGCTTTAAATCAGAAATGGTGTGTTTTTTTGCCTACATTTATCCATTACCTTTTAAACAATGTTCCACCTAAGACACATTGATCTTACAAACTGCATTAAGAGATAGAATTTTTTTTCCTGTTTTCCATTTTTATATTTTTGTGTTTCCCCCTTTGTTGATATAGGACCGTATTTGGTCAGTGAAAGGAAGCCTTTTGCTTAAGTATATACGAGTAGATAGAGTTAATCGAGCTTAATTGATTTACACATGTATTGTATCAATTGAGAGCTTATACAACCATCTATGCCATCTATGCCATACTTGTACATAGTTCGTGCAAAACGTGTTTAAAGCGAGATATTGGCCTAGTTGCATTCATGTTTGAACACCCCTCGTATCTTATTTTCCTGAATTTTAACATCTTATGTAATTCTGAATCTTTTATAGTGGCGACATGTCTGGGCGGCTAATGTGTCGGACTACATCTTAAGGATTGCTTGTCGCGTTAGTCAAACGGTTTTGTCAATGAGCAGGAAAATTTACACGCATTGCCTAATACTGAATGGTTCCAGGAACGGATTCGAGTGTTTCTATATGTTTTTAGCATACAGCACAATCGAGCTCTTATAAGTGCTGTAACAACTAAATCAATCTATTATGAATTGTACATTAATAATCAAACATAAGTGTTTTTTTGATAAAGACATCTTGAAATGTATATTTTGACCTGGACACATGGTCAGAATTGATTTTGACCGGTATTTAACAATGAACCAAACGTAATGTGAACTAAACGCATAAACGCCATGTTTTTGCACATAAATTACGCCTTTTGTATAACGCAGCTCATTTAAGATTTATTTTTGTTAATTTTATTTAACAGATAAATTTTCCTGAACATTTATTATATCCACGTGTTATTAAGGTGTTTACGAAAACTGGACTGTCTTATGAACAAGCAATTTATTTTCCCAAATTAATTGTTATTTCAGATGTTTAAGCTAAATATATTAACATAGCATGTATATCTTTAATTGAAACACGTAATTTGATGCGTTCAGCAGCTGTAGAGATGTCTTGTGGTTTTTGTTTTATATACAGAAATTAATTAATGAGAATTACAGGCTTTTTATGTAATATTTATCTCAAAATAATTATATAGTTTGAAAATTGCTATGAAATTAATGTACATGATTAAAAAGGAAATTTAAGGGGGAAGACAAAACGTCGTTTTATTATGAATTAAAATCTTTTTTTTTTCTTTTAAGAAAATGTTATGTCAACAAAAATGTTATATGGTAAAGAACGGTCCAAACATTGTTTTAACTGGGGAATTTTAAAGATTTTAACCCTTATAATGCTAAATTTCTTTGTAAATGGACTTGTCTATCTTCAATCTGGACGGATTCAAACATCATCTTTAGATAAATTTATATATGTACTGACTGAATAGCAACATAGCAGCTGGTGATATGCCGGCTGTTTTTGGTCTATACAGGAAGCGTGGGTAGAATCATTGTATCTAGCAAGGAAATAGTTTAAAAGACATTTTACCATTTTTGTCCAAAATAAAAAGGAACTCCAAAGAAAATTCTAAACTGATTTTTTTCTATAGGTATATCATTGTTTCAAGGCGCCTACATGGCGTTTCTTTTTTACAGAAATGACAGAAACATTCGCTTGTTATTTTATCATTTAGAGGCTGTATCATTTGCAGGTTTGATTTCAAGTTTGTTTTTTCATAAAGAGAAAGTTACAACGTAAACAATCCCAGTCTTAGTTTGTACAAAATGTTTTGAGTTCGATTGTGTAGGAAGCTATAAGCTTATAGATAGCTTTTCAAATCCGTTCCTGGAACCAACCACTACTGAGCAATGAGTGTAAAATTCTTCGCTCAAGGAAACAACGACTTGCCTCTGACGGGGTTTGAACCCATGTTTGAAACTTAGTCTAGTTTGGTGAATTACCGAAAGAATGCAATACCCGAAAGAAAAACAAGAAATTATAGTTCAAATGATATCTACAAAGTGTCCACCAATGGGTCCATATTCATAGATACGTCTTAAATAAAGTGTGGATGATACGCGTACAAAAGAATGGAGGCTTATAATGAATATTTTTCAAAATGATTTATTTTTTTTTGCAAAATAGAACGGTGAAATGAGTTTTATAAAGTTAAGAAAAAACAAATGTTAAGCGCAACTGAAAACCAAGCAGTGAAAAACAAAAACCCTATTTTTACCGCATTTAACTATGTTTTGCTCAACGATATATGTATGAGATGACTTGCTCATGAGAATAAAATATATTTTTATCCAGTAAATAATAGTGACTGATTGAACAGGGAGTATTTGCACGGCTATGATATATTTAATGCATGAAAATAATAACTGTATAATTTGTCTAAAGAAAAAAATGAAATAGTGACTGTATAAAATTAATGAATAAAATTATTCGAAAAATATATATGTACTAAATTAAGTATATTTGCTGAATAAATACATTTGTAGATCTTTCTAATTAGAAACCGTATATGGTTTCGTTTGACGTTGAGAAAGATTTCTTCTATGCGATCATTGATTGAAAACATTTATGTAAAAATATTCAAGGACAATATTTAGGCGTAATTTATAATATAAAAAGGTCAGCAGTTAACAGGTCATAAACTAGCTTGATCAAAGCACTGAAGGCACTGATATTACAATGTTATTTATCAGGGCTTAAGTCTTAGAACTTTATGCATGATCGAATCTTAATAGATTGACATAATAACTATAACAATTTGCTATTTTGTTTCTTTAACAATTCTAACATACAAATTATACAGAGCTTTAACGTACTAAATTTTTAATAAAGTTCACGATTTTATCTGATTATCTGATTAAATGCTAAAATAAATTATGATAATAGGCGTGTCATATACATTTTTATTTTGAGCAGCCTCAAGAATTTATGCACAATCCCTGTTCATATTTTAATTTTTTAGTGGGGCGGGAATTTGTGAAAATAGTGCAAAGCATGAAACTTTAAGGAATTCATCTTTAGACCATGTAGATTTTAAAAGTGAAGTGTTCCCAAAAATATCTCTGCTCATTCAAGATGGCCGCCATTTTTAAAATGGCCGCCATATACATTTGACGTACAAACTAGCTCATTCATTCTTTTTTTTTTGTACAGACCTGAAACTAACACCAAAAGCATGCATATAGTTTACTTCTTTTCAAAAATTTAAATCTTACAAAATTACTCTTTCATACCTCTTCCAAATACAAAATGGCGTCCAATATGGCTGTTTATATCATTTTTATAGTATAATTTGTTGCACAAATTATGTTTATTATGATAGAAAGAGTGTTTAAACATATCAGAGATAATCAAATTATATGTTAACCTCAATAAAAATAGACATTTTTAAAAGTTTTTGTAAAAAATATCTTTAAAAAGATCAAGAAAAAATTCCATTTTTTTTTTCATTTTTTTTTTCAAATTTGACTTCCTAAATAAATGTACAAAGTTAAAAAAAGTTACTTAATAACCTATATCTTAATCTATTTGACATTCCATTAATATCATGGGTTTTTTGTAAAAATGTAAGAAAAACATTAAATAATTATGTAGGTTTTATAATTTGTGAAAGTGGGTGGGGTAATTTTATACGATAATTGTCATAGAAAAACAACAGAAAATATACATAGCTAAGTTCATTCTATTTCTTTGCCTTTTTACTTTTCTATGAATTCTTATGCAAATGTTCCAACTTAAAAAGTACTTTTTATTGGATGGAAGTATTTTTGTCTTCCTTCGGGCCAAGTGGGTGAGCAAGAAATGCACATACAAACATGTGTATAAATTGGTTGCATTTCAATATATTTGATATCATATGTTAATTGTTAATTGTAAAGACATATAAGAAGACAATAAATCAACTAAACATGCTTAAAATAGCAAACATGTACATGAATATAAGGTATAAAGGTAAGTCCATAAACGCATATTTTTGACTCCTTTACAATTTTATATTTATAATATAAACATGGCTTAAAAGCCAACAATATGAGATAATGTTTTTTTTTTCATGAAATGTCTGAACATACATAGTAAAAATAAGACGACTGTCACATAACACCATCTATGTGATGTGAAACAGATATATCAATGACATGGCCTGGCTGCAGATTTTTGAAAAGTTAAGATACAAACTAAGTGTATTTCCTAAAGTAATCATATCTCATTTTTTTCTTTCAATAAGAGGGTAATGACGACCCTGGATCACTCACCTAAGATCATTGTTGGAAATAAGTAAACAAGATCATTTTGGGAGTGTCAATTATGTCATAACACACATGATTTGTGTAATATTTGAATCCGGTTGCTTTTAAAGAAACATACTCAATATCTAGTTTCATTTTTATTCTACACGAGAGTACTTCAATATCCATATTCATATATGAGTCAATATAAACTTAGTGACCCCTGGTGTTTGGTAAATTTGGACCATGTTGTC